TTACAGTACATAATGTGCTTATGACAAAGAATCATGGCCTACAATATAATATTTTTTTTAGATGATATTCAAATAGGTCAAGTTAATAGTGGTGAGTAGAGTAACCGAAAGGTGTATCCTTAAGACATCAAGTAAGACATGCTTATATTTTTGGTGATACTATCACCAAAAATATAACTCAAATATAAGTAAAAAGTACAGTAAAGAAAAACTACTCCTAAAAGTACATTTCTTACTGCAAATTCCTCAAGTAAATGTAACTAGTTAGTTTCTACCTACGTTGTTTATAAACTCTATGTTTTTCTTTTTGTATCACTTTACTGCAAAAGGAAATTTCTTTTAAAACACGAATTGGCAAAAAAGATTTTATTTCTGATTCAAGCTGAAAAGTAATCAACTGATAGAGTTTGTGATTGCACAAGAATCTAGCCCCTCCCACTTCTTACTTCTTCTTGTGCTCCAACTCTGAAACTAGTCTGGAATCTTAACCTTTACTCGTCCGCAATTTCCCATATGTTACTATAAGTTTGTATAAAGTCCTCCTGGTCGTAGCGAAAAAAATTCGCAAAACAACGATCTGTAATCGTGCTGTTGAACCGAGTCTGTAATTATTCATCTCGTTTCAAATAAATTCGGTTCCATTCAATTCAGTTTATCGATGAAGCGCCAACACATGTCATCTCAAGGCACTTTACAGAGACAATTCAATCAGGACACACGGTTTGGTTAAAACTTTCTAAGGAAACCCAGCTGATTGTCATCCAGTCATTGGCTTGAAGGAATTCATCTTCCTGGATGAGTATGTGATAATAGTAGATATTCACTTGCATTTTATCATTGGCTCTGCAGCAAGGTGATGATGGCAGCAGCCCAGCTGATACTTTTCTCCAGGATGGTGTCACAGCAAAATAGGAACAGACCAGATAAAGCTACCGTGATTAGAGAAAGCAGAGATAGCATAAATAATAACTAATTTGGCAGAATGATGAAATAGGGGTCCTTATGTCCTCCAGCAGTCTAAGTCAATAGCAGCAGAACTATAGATATAGCTCAGGATAACCTGAGCCACCCTAACTATAAGCTTTATCAAAAAGGAAAGTTTTAAGCCTACCCTTAAAAGTAGATAGGGTGTCTGCCTCACGGACTAAAACTGGTAGTTGGTTTCACAGAAAAGGAGCCCGATAACTAAGAGAGGTTCTACTTTTAGAAATTCTAGGAACCACTAGTAAACCTGCAGATTGAGAGCGAAGTGCTCTGTTAGGAACATGAGAAACAATCACTTCTCTGATATAAGATGGAGCTTGCCCATTTAAGGTTCTATATGTGAGAAGGAGGATTTTAAATTCTATTTTTGATTTAACAGGAAGCCGATGAAGAGAAGCCAGGATAGGAGAGATATGATCTAACTTTTTAATTTTCATCAGAACTCTGGCTGCAGCATTTTGGATCAGCGGAAGGCTTTTAACTACAGTTTATGGGCATCCTGATAGTAAAGAATTACAATAGTCCAGCCTGGAAGTAACAAATGCATGGACTAGTTTCTTATCATCACCCCTGGACAGGATATTTCTAATTTTTGCAATATTTCACAGATGAAAGAAGGAAATTTTAAAAACATCTTTGATATGGAATTTAAATGACACCAAGATTTTTTATATTACTATCTGAGATTAATTTAATCCCATTGAAATGAAGTGACTGACTTATCAGCTTATTTTTCAAGGACTCTGGTCCAAAGATGCTAACTTCTATTTAGCCTTCATCCAAAAGTAGAACATTTAGCCTCAGGTCTTTATATCTTGAGATCAACCTCTCAAAGTGTTTAAACTCATATGCCTTTTGTAAATCAACCCCATTTTACTACAATCGTTTACTCCCAAATCAATTAAATTGTATAAACAGAATGTTGTTAAACCTAATCTTAATATAATTCTTTTAATTAGCCATCTCATACAGCTGATGCTTCAAATCATCATCAGAGAAGAAAATATTACCAGCTTTATCAGTGAAAAGTAGGTTTCAGCATTCTGGAAATGGCACATACTTTATTGATATATGTTACATTATTCAGGTCCCAACATTAAGCCCTGTGGGGCAAGGAGGACCAGCTTAACTATGATTGAGAAAACATAAATAAATTGATAGATAAGCAAAATGCATATTTATGGACATTATAGAACTGCAATTATTCATCTTCATAAACTGCTGCCTAATTGACTTATTTCTACATTTGCATCTATATATCATGGTCAGTTGTATCATGTATAGTTTTGTAAATAAACCAGAAATAAACATTAGACATTTTAATTTTATGCAGAGAAACTACAACTATCAGGTTAAGCAAAGTAATACTTAAAATGTTCTGAGGGCTCCTGATAATACCTGATATTGTTAATCTCACATTAATTTATTGATGAAATAAGAGAGCTAGAAGATAAGCGTCTCGTTACTCGACATGATACCTTTACCGCAGCGTAAAGTTGATCAGGTACACATGCCATTCAATTTTAGGCTGCTGAACCTTCGAGCATTGCATGCTTTTAGTGAGCACACTGCATAGATAATACACTAAGCTCTAACTGTTGTTATAAGCTTTGTCCAAAGCTTATAGTCATGTTCTGTTGCCCAAATACTACCATCAAGTAAATAGATTTTTAGGAGAAATTTTGTTAACTCAAAAGAACAGTTAAATGTGCTGTAGGACAAAAATGTGTGTAAAAGCATTTAGCCAGCATTTTTTTCTTTTGTTTTGTTTATCTATTATATAGCGCATACACAACTGGTACTTTATATATCCCCCATAACAGTGTGCTTATGACCCAGTTTTGTTTTAATCACATCTTAGTGTCAGGCTAGTGTCACATCTGTGAATGCACAGACTGTATAACCTAATGAGTGTGCCAGTCTGAGGACATGTGACCTGGCACCGATGTTAGCTGAATTATAAAATGGCATGTTAACACTGTGTTTACAGGCTTATGGCTTCGATAAACTGCAAGTGAAGTGTAGCAGAAAACAGACATTTAGATTTTTTTGTCTTTTAATACTTTTTAAAAGATTTGTTGGCAGCGACCCAAAGAGCTGCCCGAAAATAAAAGCTGCTTAAAAAATGTTGCATGTCAACTTTGGGCATTTTTCTCCTTATCTTTAATGCAGAGGCTTTACAGACAGTGTCACAAATTCACCTTTTAAGTAATAAAGATAATAAAGAAATGATATGAAATTCCAGCTGAAAATCTTCAGAAGTGTTCTGTAGATGAGTTTTTGTCAGTCTAGCTGATGACTGTCTTTCTAAAGGTATAAAACTATTGAATGTGATATTGTTGGTATAAATTCTTATCCTCAACATTTTTTACAACGCCAGCTCTATTTTAGTCACCTAGATGTACGGTGCGACCATGTCATTTCATTTTGTCCTGATCTCCTCTTTATTCCTTGTGTTATTAGATCATGTTCTCTATGGTGTAGTCTGTTGAGGCAGCAGATTACGTACAGCAAAGAGAAAAAGGTTGGATAAACTCTAAACTGATCAAGGGGGCTGGCTCTGTCCCAGGATGCTCCCTCCCCACATGGAAGGTGGTAGGAGACAGAAGAACTCTTTGGAAACGAACATCACTATCAGTAATGTCACTCAGCCCTGCATGAAGCTGCTTTAAAACTGGAGAGCTCCTGCACTTAAAGACTGGTGCACTCACTAACCAAAAAGGGGCGCTTGTGTAGATTTTCACTCCCAGCAGCAGGTAAACTTTATACCCTCTGCTGCTGGAAACAAACTTAATAAATCTGTATATCTCTAATGTTTTTGCAGTCTTTTTTTTATTGTTATTATTAAACTCTTATTGTTCTTAGTGCACAGGTTTTGCACAACTCTAAAAATCCCAAGTTGCACACAGCTTTCAATTTTTGAATATTCAGTTTCTTATAACAACTCTTATGTATTTCTTAATATGTTGCAAGTTTC